ATAAATTACATGTTTTTGGCTGAATCTCTCCACCAAAACCGTAAGAGTTTTGAGTATTTTCTTGAGTTACTACCTTGGTAGTATGCTTTCCAGGGTCTAAATCAATCTAGTTTCTTTGGAAAGCCAATATAAGCAGACTGCTTATTCGTACAGGTATTAGAAACAGAATTTTGGTTTCACTGTTGGCCTTCCCACTTTCTAGTCATTTGAACTTGGCTAAACTACTTAGCTTCTCTAAACTTCTCTTCCTTCATCTGTTTAAAAATAAATAAAGGAGTTCTAATACCGCCTACCACAGAGTTATTGTGATGACTAGATGAGATAATGAACATAGCCTTTCCGAAGTAAGCAGTAAATGTTTGCTACTATAAAAGTTTTAGGGGGTAGGCTAAACTACATTATCAAAGAAAGTTCAACACATAGTGGCTGGAAAAAGGCAGAACTTTATTCACCCTCAAGTCCAGGTTGACAGGTTAGCTTTGTTCCCTGATGTCACTCAGGGACTCCGATTCCTTCCACCCAGCCTGGCATAATATCCTCTTCTATATGGTCAAAACTGTTCACTACCCCTTCTTTCCCCCACTCAGCAAGAAGTGGGGAGGGAAGGAAGTCCAGAGCAAGTGCTTTCCCTTTAGACCAGTGAATTACAAGTTGTACATAATCTCTCTTGCTCACCCCATTGGTGAGAACAGCTTAAAGCTGTAACAGAATCTGGGAACTGTAGTCTTTTTTTCTGACAGCCATGTACACAATTAAAATCTATTACTCTGGAAGAAATGGACAAATTAACTGGACAAATTCTGCCATAGCTGCTCCTACTACTGTTACTACTAGTACCACTACTGTTACAGCAGAATTATGTCATGTATCTATTTACCTTCTACAGCTTCACTTACGTGTACTAGGGTGGATATGGGGAGAGTGGAGAGATGAGACTGAATGTTTGAAATGTGAGTGGTCCGGTGCTGAATATGATTCTTGTGTTTAAAACAATATGCAAACCAATAATTTCATCTGATGGTCAGTTGGAGAAATCTGGTCCAACATTTAGAAAAAACAGGCTGAGCTGGTCTTACTGATGTGTGCTGGTCTCTTGTAGGTACTTTCCTATGAGATATTCAAGGGTAATTTCAGCTATTCCTGACTTTTGCCTTCTTACCTGTCTTCAGAGCTTATCATATAGGCAAGATTCAACCACCACTGTAGTGTTAAATTGGTGTATATTTGCAAAAACTTCTGTTACTCAACTTTTTAACTCACTGGCTTACTCACCAGTAGTGGCATATCGAGCAGAGAGTCATTCAGTTAGAAATTTATAGAAGTTGAATCCCTTGTAGCGAGGTTATAGAAAGTTGATGTTCTAGTTTTGAGAAAGTGAACACCTCTGTTAAAAGAAATGGAGGAAAAACTGTCAGGGTGTCTTTTATATCTTTTATTTCATACCTTCATAAGGTGCTAATGGAGTTTTTATTTTGAAGCAAATAGTACAACAGATCATTTTTTATTCAGAAGGAATTTAGCTTTCTCTCCCCATAGGTGTACTTTATTTTAAGCAATCCCAACCAGTTAAAAATCATTTTTCAGTAAAAATAAATTAGGGTAAATGCATTTAGACTAATTATTGCTTCACAAAAATGGTCACAAATGATCTTTTCTTTTGTAAGCTTCACCTGTTCCTTAAAATGATTTCATTGGCAAGATTTTTCTTATCTTACTATTTTTAACTGGCACATTTTCTGTTAAATGAGGTACCACAATAAAATCATTTAGAATCTTAGAGTTAGATGAGACTTAGAGGTCACCTAGTCTAACTTACCTGTGTGTCTGAGAGTCCTTTCCTGAAGTCTGCAGAGTACCTCTGGTCTGCAATTCGGTCGCCCTTGGAACGTTTTTGTAATGAGGAGCACACACCCTTGTTCATTTAACGTTTGAATGGTTCTGTTCAGCATAATCAATAGTGTCAGGTCAAACTGCTTGTGCCCAGAGCAGCTTTTCCTTCTGAAAATGCTGAGTCTTTCCAACAGTGTTTGTTAGCTAATTACTGAGATTATTAGAACTACTTGGAGTTCTGTCCTTTCACCATAAATCATGTCGTAGGAATCCAGCAGGCATTTTCTAACTCCCCATCTAGGACACATGTCTCTTCCACAGCTTGCTGATTCCATTCCCATCCTAGAACACAACAGGTGTTCAACAAACATAGATTACTGAATATGATTTCCGTCTAGACTGCTGCTCTTAAGAAAGGGGGTCTCAGTCTTTGATGAATGATTTGGGATTGATGAATGACTTGGGATTGCACGTCTTTAAATAGCTAAGGATTTGAGGAGCCGGGCCTAAGCTTAGTCTGAAAAGCCAAGGCAGACTTGGAGATGAGGAACGTCATAGATCTTTCTTACATCAGACTAAGTAAAGATCCACTGGAGTAATAAATAAGAACATGGGGCATGATGGCAAAACTGATTGTCTGTGATCATGAGGGGACCCATTCATCTTTGTTTTCATACACACTTGGAGGTAGTAAATAGTGGTATATAAAAGATCCTCAGAAATTACTTCTGTATTTCTAATTCTAGGCGAGATCTTTGACTAGTTAAGTAAAAGTCATGAGAATTATCACTCTTGGTTCAGTTTAAGACATAAAACATTATAAAATTTTATAAGATTAGTTTCTTACTGCTAAAACTGTTATTTTCTGTACTAGAAACAAACAGAACAAATATGAGAAATATGAGAATAGTGTCTTTTTTTTTTAAACAGTTTTTGGTTTGGAATATTTGAATTCTGGAGTTCTTTACAGGCATTACAACTTTATTTCTGTAGTGTATTTGTTATTCTGCTTTTGCAGGAGCTGTAAATAATGTTGATTGGGTATGTCTTATCTGGTATTAAAAATGATTAATGTGAACTAGAGATCTAGGCTGCCCAGAAGATTATATATAACTTTCAGGCACATTCTGATAGAGTGCTGGATGGCAGGGAGGAGAATACTTCATGATATGCTCCTCTACAGTCTAGGATTTTTTTTTTTGACATTCACTATAACGAAAGGCTAACGATTGTTTTGGGATTCACAGGAAACATGTATTAGAAATTACACATGTAAGGTTAGAGTTGGTGTTTGTTTGGGAATTATAGGCTTAAGATTTTTAACTGTTTTCTATAGTAAAACATACAATTAGTAGTCAGCTGCCTCTTTCTACCAGTTAAAGGAAGGGTTCCTTGCATTTCAGTTCTTTGCAAAATCTGAAAAGTATATCATATTTGGAATGCAGAGTGGGGTTGATCTAAACTAACCTTGGATGGTGACTTCAGACTTGTCATCTGGGCCAAGACATATAATTCAGTGATTCACTTTGGTAGTTGACAGCCCTTTACACTTTAAGTGGAAAAATGGTTATTTCTTGCTGTGGGTCCAAGTCTAGAGGGCTCCTCCCTGATCCTCTCCATCCTGAACTCTCTTCTACATTGGAACTTAAGTTCCCAGACTTTGGAGTGGGGGGGGGGGGATTATAACTATTTGAGTGGTTATGGACGCTTTTGAAAATCTGACGAAAACCGCAGGCATTTTGTAGCTACTTTAGCCCAAATGATCATGTTGTACATCTTAACCCTCTGACTCTGTAATACTGTGGACATAATAACAAACAAACATATCTAACTTGTTTTTAAAGCTAATATTCCTTTTAACTTGTTTTTTTCTTGGTCCTATTTGAGGTCCTATTGTTCTTTTGTATTATACTTTTTTAAATATACTGAAAATTAATAAAACGTAAAGGCACTTTAATAATTTTAAAGTGTAACTATCAGCCAAATCAAGAAGTAGGAAATTGTCAGCAAGCCCCCTAGCTTCCCAGTCGCAACACCTTCCTATTTAGTAGAAGTAGCTACTGTCCTGACTTGTAAGTTAGTTATTTCCTTGCTTTTCTTTTTAATTTTACCACTTGTATTTTTACCATCTGTATATTTATCCCTAGAATATCTTAGTTACTATCTGTTTCAGAAAGATTTATATATGGACACTTAATGTATATATTCTTGTTTGTTTTTTTTCTCTCAACATTATGCTTGTATGTTGTCCATGTTGCTGTAGATATCCATAGTTCATTTGTTTTCATTGTATCATATTCCATTGCATAACTGTACCACAGTTTCTTTGCTATACTTTGATCAAAGTTTTCATAATATTGCCAGAGAACTTTAGATTTTCTTGTCTTTTATCTGCTGTGGACCAGTTTTCTCTCCATTAGTCAAATATTTATTAACTAGTAAATTTGTTACATGTAAATTATTCAAAAATTTAAATGGGCATTGAAATCAGTATTAATATGTTATTGTTCTTTCAAGAACTTCAGTCTGTAATTTATTTTCTTCTAAATATTTGATATATACTTTATGCCTGGCCATCAGAAAAGTTAATTAAGCAAATTTGGCAAATATTTGATCTTCTATGGGTCAAGCACTGTTGTAGGTACTGGGGCTGCAGCACTTTAGTAAATATACATTCTTTATATATTTAAAAAATAAACAGATATGTGTATTTGTTTAAAAAAAATCTTAGTACAGAAAGGTATAAAATGAAAAATGTGACTCTCTGTTCCCTCAGTCCTATGTTCAGTATTAAATTTCTTGACTATTCTTTTTATTAAAAAATTTAAAAATCTTATATATGTATAACCTGAAAAAATTACACAGTGGAAACTTTTTGTATGCCTTTTGTACTTTTTCTTTTTGTCTTAATAACCCATCTTGAAGATTTCAATGAAAGTTAGCATTTTTAAATTAGGGAACTGCCAGAAACTTAAATTAGTAGAACTGAAAATAGAAACAGTGCCTTCATGTTCTTCCAGATTAACTTCTTTTTCTTAATTTATTATAGAAGCAAGAATAACGTGCTTTTGCCTTATTAGAAATCAGATTTATTTATAGGACATGATAAAATTTACCTATAGAAAATCATAACTTTAAATTGTTAAGTATCTGTATTGCTTTTTCTGTAGGCATTGCTGGAGACCATGTTTGGTGTAAAAGTGATTATAACAGGTGATGCATTTGTTCCTGGAGAAAGAAGTGTCATTATCATGAATCATCGGACAAGAATGGACTGGATGTTCCTGTGGAATTGTCTGATGAGATACAGCTACCTCAGATTAGAGAAAATTTGCCTCAAAGCTACTCTCAAACGTGTTCCAGGATTTGGTAGGCTATTCACAAATTATTATAAGTTGTTCATTTATTTTATATGTGATGTACTCACTCTAAAACTACAGAATAACTTACTAAACTCCACTTAAGTATTAAAGCCTTTTCCACTTTTTTCCCTCCCTAGCCAACAATCACCAGGTTTTTTTTTTTTTCCTTAGGGGATTATAGATTATTTTAATCCTTTTTCGGAAACATCTTACGTTGAAAGAATAAACTATTCACAAGGAAGTAGATATGGTCCCAGAAGGACCAAAAATTTGAAGAATATGAATTAATAGTTCAGTAACTTTTTATTACATGTCATACTTGTGGTAATTTAGACCAGAAAGTGGTCTGTGCTGATAAGGTACTTGAAAGGAACTGATTCATTCACATTTATATAATAAATAGTAATCGAAAAACCATTGGTTCCAAGCGTTATACCAGGTGCTGGTGTTTTCTGAACTTACCTAATCCATCACTTTTTTTTTTTTTTAAAGGCTTTTCACTGTCCTAGTTGTATACTATAATATTAAAATTCCTAGAAATGTTTATTTTCCATAGTTAGGAAAGCAGCACGTTCACTGAGTGGTGGATAAGTAGGGATATGTCAACATTGCATGTTAAATCTTAATTGATCTCCACTCTGTAATATGAAGTAGGGGTGAGGAACAGACTAAAAATATATTCAAACCAGTTATTCACATATGAGTGGATGAAGCACCCACTATACTCCCTGACAGCCTCATCCATTAAATCTGTACTTCTTTGGTTTCCTATGTAATATTTCTTATTTGAATTCTTTGCTCTCTAAACCATGTGCCTATCAGTGTACTGAAATTGTGTAGGATTTGTGAGGGCAGAGGGCAGGCATTGTCCTCAGGATAGACTAGTAAGAAGTACTGCATGTTTGTGTTTTAGTTGCCTTCATGCTAATAGTTTTATCTTTCTCTTTGTCACTTGCACAGTATTGTGCTCTCAGGATAGTCAGATTCCTTAAATGGCAACTGACTTTCCCTAGAGCAAACATCCCCATAGAACCAGCAGGAAGCTGCAAGGCATTTTATGACCTAGAATTCATATAGCATCACATCTACAGTACATTATTGGTGGAAGCCATCACTGTCCTCAAGGAGTCTAGGGGAGGGAGCATAGACTTCACCTCTCGATGGCAGGAATGTCAAAGATATTATAGTATTTTAAAAACTGCCACATTCCTAAAGACTGATCAAAAATGATAATGTCTTGTGTATCATTCCTGATTCTACATAAAATAAAGTAACAGAATATTAAGAACATTATGTGAAGGAGCTTGAAAATATATATGAAATCAACAAATTACAACTGACAAAATATGATAATAATGAAAACAAATGAAAAAAAATTAAAACAGCTTCGTGTCTAATAAAGAGATTGAATCCATAATTAAGAGCCTTCCTACAATGGTTTTTGGAGGACAATGGCAGCTGCCTGATCTTCCTCATCTTTAAAAAAACAAAAAACATACAAGCAGAGGAAGTAAAACCACATATCACTCATCTCTTCAGCATGACCAGGAGACAAGGCATTTAGAAGGTTCTGGTATTAAGTAGAGAAGTCTAAAAGAGTTCTTTCTACCCTCCCATCATTGCAAACCTGTGGGTTCCAAGAGTGGGTAGAGACTTCTTAAGAGTAGAGAGGCATCGAAAACTTAGAGGAAGCACAGACAAAAGCATCGCCAGAAAAATTAAAGTCCAACACTAAATGCCAAAATACTGAACACAGGTCTGGACATAGTAGTTCACAGCACAAGATATAAGGAAGTGATCAGAAAGACAGTGGGACCTGAAGATGCCTCAGAGAAGTATTGCTTCTGAGGGAGAATCAGATACATAGAGAAGGGCTAGCTTCCCTTAGAAGTGTGGTAGTGAAGGAAAACAAGGAAATTAAAAATCCTGCAGGAATAAAAAGAGAAGCAAGAAATAACAGTCTTTGCTTACCCCACCCCCAAAATTATACAGCAAAACCCAATAACCATAAAAGGTTTTTAAATTCATAAAAGAAACTTAAGTGGAGGACAGAACTGAAAAACCGAAAAGCCAAAAAATGTACACCATAACACTCCAAACTGAATGGATTATCATTAACTAAGCATTTGGGGATATTAAAAAAAAGATACTTTTGAGTGAGAAATACAATGAACAGTAATAGACAAGAAAACAAGGAGAAATATAAGTCAGTTGAATTCAAGGAAAAAAAAGAACAAAAAGGCAAAATCATGTCAGAAATGAAGAGCGAATTATGAAGTATCCAAGAGGAAAATAATAGAGTAAAATGAAAAGAGCAATACAAGAAAACAGAAAATGACTCAACAGTGAAAAGCTGAAAGCATTTCCTCTAAGATGAAGAACAGGACAAGGATGTCTACTCTCAGCCACTTTTTTTTGTTGGCCATGCCATGCAGCTCGTGGGATCTTAGTTCCCTGGCCAGGGATTGAACCTTGGCCACAGCAGTGAAAGCGCCGAGTCCTAACCCCTGGACCACCATGGAATTCCCACACTCTTGCCACTTTTATTCAACATTGTCTTGGAAGTCCTAGCCACAGCAATCAGAGAAGAAAAAGAAATAAAAGAAATCCAGATGATTGGAAAAGAAGAAGTAAGACTGCAGAAGTAGTCACTGTTTGCAGATGACATGGTACTATACATAGAGAATCCTAAAGGTGCTACCAGAATCAATAGTGTCAAAATGACTATTCTACCCAAGGCAATCTACAGATTTAGTGCAATCCCTATTAAATTATCAATGGCATTTTCCACAGAACTAGAACAAAAAATTTTTTTAATTTGTATGGAAATACAAAAGACCTCGAATAGCCAAAGCAATCCTGAGAAAGAAAAACAGAGATGGAGGAACCATGCTCCCTGACCCTAGACCATAGTACAAAGCTCCAGTCATCAAAACAGTATGGTACTGGCACAAAAACAGATATATACATCAATGGAACAGGATGGAAAGCCCAGAAATAAACCCACACATACATCTATGGTCAATTAATCTATGACAAGGGAGGCAAGACTGTACAATGAAGAAAAGTCAGTTTCTTCAATAAGTGGTGCTGGTAAAACTGGACAACTACATGTAAAAGAATGAAACTAGAACATTCTCTAATGCCAGACACAAAAATAAACTCAAAATGAATCAAAGACCTAAATATAAGATGCGATACTATAAAACTCTTAGAGGAAAACATAGGAAGAACACTCTTTGACATATAACACAGCAAGGTCTTTTTCAATCCATCTGCTAGGGTAATGGAAATAAAAACAAAAATAAACTAATGGGACCTAATTAAACTCAAAAGCTTTTTCACAGCAGAGGAAACCATAAGTGAAACAAAAAGAAACCCCACAGAATGGGAGAAAATATTTGCAAACAATGTGACCGACAAGGGATTAATCTCCAAAATTTACAAGCAGCTCATGCAGCTCAATATTGATAAAACAAACAACCCAATCACAAAATGGGCAGAAGACCTAAATAAATATTTCTCCAAAGAAGACATACACATGGCCAAAAGGCACATGAAAAGATGCCCAACATCACTAATTATTAGAGAAAGGCAAATCAAAACTACAATGAGATATCACATCACACCGATCAGAATGGCCATCATCAAAAAGTCTACAAACAATAAATGATGGAGAGGCTGTGGAGAAAAGGGAATCCTCCTACACTGTTGGTGGGAATGTAAATTGGTACATCCACTATGGAGAAAACAGTAAAAATAGAACTGCCATATCATCCAGCAATCCCACTCCTGGGCATATATCCATAGAAAACCATAATCTGAAAAGATACAGGCACCTCAGTGTTCATAGTAGCCATGACATGGAAGCAATCTAAATGTCCATTGATAAAGAAGATGTGGTACATACATACAATGGAATATTACTCAGCCATAAAAAAGAATGAAATAATGCCATTTGCAGCAACATGGATGGACTTAGTATCATACTAAGTGAAGTAAGCCAGAGAAAGACAAATATCATATGATATCATTTACATGTGGAATCTTAAATTATACAAATGAAGTTATTTACAAACCAGAAACGGACTTACAGATGTCGAAAACAAACTTAAGGTTAGCAAAGGGGAAATGTGGGGGATGGGGAGGGATAAATCAGGAGCTTGTGATTAACACACACAAACTACTATATATAAGATAGATAACTAACAAGGACCTACTGTATAGCACAGAGAACTATACTCAATATTTTATAATAACCTGTAAGGGAAAAAAATCTGAAAAAGAATGAACATATGTATATGTATAACTGAATCACTTTGCTGCACACTTGAACCTAGCACAACATTGCAAATCGACTATACTCCAACACAATTTTAAAAAAACCAAAAGAAAATAGAGAATGAAAAGGAGAAAAAAAGAAAAAAAAATTGTCAGAGAGAAAGTAGTTGAAATGGAACCTAGTTAGAGGAGTTCTAACATCTGTATAACTGGAGCCTCTAAAAAAGACAGTCAAAACAATGTAACTTAAATATTACAAGGGTGATATTTAAAAGTACGACCCAAGAAGAATCTTGTGTGTAAAAGACGACTGAGAATTCCCTGGGTGGCACACTGGTTAAGAATCCACCTGCCAATGCAGGGGACATGGGTTTGAGCCCTGGTCCGGGAAGATCCCACATGCTGAGGAGCAACCAAGCCCTTGCACCACAACTACTGAGCCTGCGCTGTAGAGCCCATGAGCCACAACTACTGAGCCCGCGCACCACAACTACTGAAGGCCACCCACCTAGAGCCCGTGCTTTGCTACAACCCACCGCAATGAGAAGCCCACACACCGCAATGAAGAGTAGCCCCCACTTGCTGCAGCTAGAGAAAGCCTGTGCACAGCAACGAAGACCCAACACAGCCATAAGTAAATAAATAAAAATAAATTTATTTTATAAATAAATAAATAAATAAAAGACAACTGGAGGACTTCCCTGGTAGCACACTGGTTAAGAATCT